AAAAAAAAAAAAAAAAAAAAAATAGGAATAGGAATAGGAATAATAAAATAACAGCAAGAATAGGAACAGGAATACGAATAAGAAAATAATAAGTATAAGAATACGAATAAGAAAATAAAAATAATTTAAAACAAAAGAAAAGGTAATAGAAATCAATTTTTTTTTAATTTAAATAATTTTTTAAATCAATCAAAATTAAAAATAACTAATTAAATAAGAAATAAAAATATAAAAATAAAATAAAAATAAAATATTAAAATAAATATGTAAAACATTAAAATAAATATGTAAAAATATTAAAATAAATATACAAGGTATAAAAAGAAATCTATAAAATATAAAAAGAAATCTATAAAATATAAAAATAAATCTAAAAAATAGATATACAAAGGAATAAAACGAAGGGAAATCAAATAAAAAGGACACCCAATAAATCCCAAACCTCCCCCAGCTCCGGCGGAACTCCGGGCTGAGCCCGCGGGAGGAAATTCCCGATTTTGGCCGGGGAAGCCCCGGCTTTAAAGAGGGAAATTCCAATAAAATGTCAAATAAAACCCTGATGGAGAACAGGCCGTGAACGTCTTTATTCCGCACCATTCCCTCGCTTTACACACACACAAATTCCTCTTGTTTTTCTGCATTTTTCACCTTTTCCGGGATTTTTTTTTCCCTCTTCTTCTTCGCCTCCCTTTTCCCGACGACAAAAATTTTAAAAAATCAAAATACAAAATGAAACCGCGGCGGGGTTGATGCACAAAGCGTTGGAAATTGGATTTTTCCGCATGGATTTTGCCCCAGAAATGAATTTTCCTGCCCATTCTCCCCTGAAGATGTGGAAATTTGGGGTTTTTTGGGGGGGAATTCTCCTTTTTGACCCCAAATTTGGGGGTTTTGGGGATGGAAACTTCCAGGGCAGCTGCGGCCCCGCGGCTGAGTTGGAATTCCCTTGTGCCTGAAGGAGAATAAAAATTAAAATAATATAATAATATAATAATAATAATAAAATATATATATAAAAAGGAATCACAGACTGTCCAGGGTGAAAAATAAAAAAAAAAGGGGAGAACAATTAAAATTAAATAAAGTCCACGGAGTTCAAGTCCTTGAAATTGGGAGGGGGGGACCCAACAAAAATCAGAAAAAAAAACAGGAAAAATAAGGGGAAAACAGGAAAAATCAGGAAAAATAAGCAAAACCTAGGAAAAGTTCGGGAAAATTAGGAAAAATAAGGAAAGAGACCCAAAAAATCAGAAATAAAATTAGAAAATAATCAGGAAAACACTGAAAAAATTAGGAAAAAAAGGGAAAATCAGGAAAAAAAAAATCAGAGACTAATCTGGAAGTAATCAGGAAAAAAACAAAACAGACAAAACCTATAAATAAACAGGAAAACCAGGGGGG